TATATATCAGAAAAATATTTCTGCAGTTAATGCAGATAAGTTATCTGAATTTACTTCCAAAACGACGTTGTTTTGGGATTGAAAGATTAGAAAATTATAATTATAAAAACTATAATAACCCTGAAATAAATTAAAATTACAAAAACACCATGATTTCCGCCCGAAACGACGTCGTATTGAGCTTATTGCAGATAACTTATCTGCAGTAACTGCAAAAAAAACGAACCCTGTATATATATAAGCTTTAGTGTTTCTACAGTGAACGTAGATAAGTTATCTACATTCACTCCCAAAACGACGTCGTTTTGGGTTGAAGGATTAAAAAATTATAATGAGAAAGACTATTATAACCCTGAAATAAATTATAATTACAAAAATACCTTGATTTCCGTCCTAAAACGACGTCGTTTTGGGCTCAATATAGATAAGTTATCTACATTGAATGTAGAAAAGACGAACCCATATATATATATATATATATATATATATATATATATATAACTAATTACTCCCACCAGTCCACTAGCCACCCTATACAGGCCCCTTACTCCAACCAGTCCACTAGCCACCCTATACAGCCCCCTAGTTCAGTGTGGGCTCTCTAGCTACTACCGAAGTACCTGAAACATATCCCCAAATGGGGTGAGATAAAATTATCTCAGTAAACTCAGGGTTTATGGATTAGTCTCTACCCATGAGTTTACTTCCTGCATGAAAGGTCAGATACATAGCATAACAAATATCATATAAGCATAACTAAAATACGACATCCAGTAGTTAAAATCTCTACTCGAATAGTCCAAACTGAAACTCCTAGAATATAAGTTCTTACGGAGCAACCAGAGCCAACCGAGGACCGGATGCACTCATGGTAAATAACAGATATCTCCTAGAACGTAAGTTCTTATGGAGTAAACCAGAGCCAATCGAGGACCGGATGCACTCATGGTATATAACAGATATGTTCATTGGCTAAGAACTAAAACAAATATATCATATTATACTTACTCATAACATACCAGATCATATCAGAGCAGAACATATTATATCAGATCATATCATAACCTATATGAATGCAACTATATTACGTATCTAACAGAAACAGATATACTGACATACAAATATCAAACCATGATCCCATTGGACCTTGGTGGAACAAACAAAGAGGAGAATCCTCCTAAACCGGGAGCTTACCTCTCGTAGCTCAAATCCAAGACTTACTTGACTTCCAAGCAATTACTCCAAAATTACAAGAAACTGATCCTCAGGCACTAGGTCGCTTTCCTCCAACCTAGTTCACCATCCAACAATAATCAATACAAATTAAGGTTCTTTTACAAGTGGTAAGCATCAAGGCCTAACACTTGACCTACTCACAAGCTTGTACAAATTATGGTTAAGTTGGTTCTAACAAAGCTTTCATACCAAATACTTTCTTATCAAATTAGATAAGTTAATTCATGCCAAAGACACAAGTCATACTAATTAAACCACACATTAAAGAATGGACCCAAAGCAAAAACCTAGTCAGTCTAAATCACTAAGTCAAGGTAGGTATTTAACCCTTTGCCATGGCTTATTATGTCACCAAAATGGCCTACAAAATATACCCCAACATCTAACATGATTCCAACCAATTAAACCCCATAATGGCCGATTACATGACCAAAGGGATTCATCAAAGAAACTTTATTCAAAATAAGGTTGGTCCACCTCAAACTTACTTAAACATACTCAAGACAATTTCCAATCATTCATTACAATTTAACAAAGCTTCCAAGCCATTTATCCCATCATGGCATAAACATAACACATTTGATTCATCAACCTTTCAAGCTTTTTGTTGGCAACTAATGAATCCATCTTGCGTTACTTAACATCATGATCATTTTCCGTTATCAAGATTACACAAGTTAACTTTCCACAAAATTTTCGCTACACTTGGCCTAAATGGCCATTTAATGCATCAATGACATATTTCATGCTGTCAAATAATTATTTCATGATATATCCAACTCCATCGTATACAAGACATATCAAATACAAAACAAATCAACCAAAACACATTTCCAAGGCCAAAATAATGTGATGGCCGAAATGCACATAACCAAGGTTCATAAATTTTCTTTAAAACTTACACGTAACTAATTCATATTACATTAAACATCTCACATATTAGGAGTATAAAACATCATCTAATTTCATTGAAAACACTTCCTCATGTTTTTGTTCCTTCATGGCCGAATTCATAAGGTATTAGGAAAAACCATGAACTTTGCAAATTCAACTAATTATCTATCAAATCTTTCATCATTAATTCATCTAAAAATCATGATTTCACATACCCAAATAATCAAACATTTGGTCTACATAATTCTTCTCTATATGGCAGAATAGGTTCCTTGAATTTTCAACAATCCTTCATGCATTTCTTTCAATTCTTTTAATTACATTCAGCTCCCAAGCATCCAACAACCAATATCCATCAACAAACACATCAAAACATCATGATAAAAACCATCAACATTCAGTCCAAATATAGCAAGAAAACCCAATTTTAAAACTCGGAATGCATCCATCTAAAGTGAGTCTTCTTACCTCCAAAAACTTCTCCACAGGCTCAAGATGATTCTCCAACCTTTGAACTAATGAAGAAGTCCACTTTTGCCTCATTTCTGGTATGTAGTTCGCTGCCTATGGGAGGGAAGATCTCACAAAATGCAGCCTCTCAAGATGACCCAAGACCTAGGTTATGATCAAAAGACACTAAGCTTTCTCTTTTGTGTTAAGTGTCTAACCTAAAAGTGGCTAGAAATTCATGCAAAAAAGCTTCACAATGCAACAATGGAGTCACGGTCTCCTTGAGGGAGCAGAACAGGTCGTGGGAGAGGGAGAAGAGGGATGACCAATTTGGCTTATGTGTAGGTGTCTCAAGGGACTCGAAATATTGACTTTTAACTTAGCTTTTTATTGAATGATTTTTCACGAAATTTTATTTAAATTTTAAAATCTAATCATAATTAAATTAAACTAAAATTATTTCAAACTCGCTAAATTATTTAATTATATCATCAAAATTAAGATTAGGCCAAGTTTTACTTAATTGCAATTTGATCCTTAAATTTTTACATATTTAAACTTTGATCCACAAACTTTTCTAATAAAGTCATTTGGATTCTAATTGACTTATTTGACTTAAATTATATTTTTTATATTGATTATCATATTAATTACATGATTAACTAATCAATTATATTTACATATTTATTAGTATATATTTTTCAGAACCGCTGTAGCAAGTTACAAAAGCGCAGGTTTCATTATTTACCATTACTTGCCAATGTGGGTTGTAATACATTCCAAGACACATAATCATAAGCAAGGCATTTCCTATCTGTTCATCAATGTATCACATTATTTTTTTAGCACATTTGGCATAATTCACGTGACAAAAATAATTTCATATCATGAAAAATTAAATTGACTCATGTGATATATTTGTATATATTTATTTATTTATTTAACATTAAGATAATAATATTGTGATAAAAAAGTGAATTGTAATTTATATATATATATATATATATATATATATATATATTTTAGTATTTTAATAAGATAAAATTTTATTATTATTATTTTGTATCATTAATATTTTTTAAATATGAAATTTTGGTTATAATATCTTGTCATTCTTGTGATTTGATGTTTTTATACATATCCAATGTCAAATTTGTAATTATATCAAAAGTAAATAAATAGGCTTGGATTGTGTTATTAAAAGCAATTCTTTTTCTAGGAATAGGAATAAATTGTGTTATCAAACTAGGCTTGGATTCTCTTATTAAAACAAAATAATTTTTTTTGGATACAGAAACCTATCAGTTTCTGTGGAGGGGTTCATCATTTTTGCAGCGAAGTAATTTATATCTTTTCTCTTATAAGATGAGACTTTCTCAAGAAAAAGTAAAGTATACGGATACTGACTATATGCCATACTATAGACACAATTCATGTGAACTTCATCACTTTTTTTTCTTTTCTTTTTATTTTAAAAATAATGGAGTCCATATTGATTGTGTGTATTGGATGACATAATCATTTTCCTACAACATAATAGTTATATTTCCCTACTTTAATACTATAAATGTTGTTACATTTTTTTTTTTACTACGAAAAATAAAGATATACCTCTGTAAGTACGCCTTTGTATACTATCAAATATACATATGGGGAAAAGCTAACGCTATGGAGCAATGTTATTTTATTGTGTTGAAATGAAATTTGACTTCATATGAAGGCATAAGTGATAACTAGTAACTACTCCTATTAAACCATCCCGTAATTGTAAAGATGTTATTTAAATCGTGACCTTTCAATAAAAAAATAATAATTTTATTGCTGCTCCAGATTCATCCTTTTATATAAAAATAATTTTATTCTCAGCCTCTTATATGAAAGGACAAGGGAAATAAAATAAAACATTGACGCATCTGGGGAAGTTGCTCCGCCGGTCTGCTCTGGCGTGCTGCTTCGTATCGAAACCAATTGGAAATTTTTTAACCATTATCGCTGACATGTATTGCTTGTTTATTATATGATTTAAACGAGAATATGTATACTGATTGGAGCTTATAGTCAAAATAATAATAATAACAATAATGATTCATTTCAATTTTCAACTCTAAAATTTGGATACGGCTTACTTAACATTTCTGACTGATGTTACTTAATTTCTTTGTTTCCTTAGCGCAATATTCGAACAAAAAATAAAAATAAAAAACTATTAGTAATAAGTACAAGCAGAAACGCGTTCCTGGAGGCATGGTATTGAAATCCAGCTCCAACCATGCCATGGTCAAAGTTATTTACCTTTGATCACTTTGACTTAACCTCAGCATAGGTGCTTCTGTGTAATTGTTACATATTTTAATAATAAGCCTGAGAGAAGAGATAAAGCTGCTAAGTTCTGCTTCTGAATAAGCACTCAGAAGAAAGAAATGATTTCTAAATCCTATCATTTCCTGCTTCTTTTTTGTTCTCTTTCTTTCCTTTTAGAGGTTGCTCTTGCTGACCCTCCATACGAAATTTGTTCCACAAGCAGTAGCTATGCAAATGGAGGTTCCTTTGAGAACAATCTAAACAAACTCCTCTCTTCTCTACCCTCCAACGCTTCAATGTCCAAATCCTATAATGCTTCTTCTGGGGTTGACCAAGATATAGTTTATGGCCTCTACATGTGCCTCGACTATGTTTCAAATGAAACTTGCAAGAACTGCATAGCCACAGCAATAGAAGATATTGTCAAACTCTGTCCCCAAACAGAAGAAGCAATTGTTTGGGAAGAGGTCTGTCAATTACGTTATTCTAATAACAATTTCTTGGGCAAATTGAATGTCACAGGGAACATAGGCAAAGATAATGTACAGAATACTTCAGAACCACAGAAATTTGAGTCTGCTGTGAGTGAGATATTGAATAATCTTACTCAGAGAGCATCTCTTAATCTTTCGGCCAACATGTATGCTACTGGAGAAGTTCCCTATGAAGACAAAACAATATATGCCTTAGTGCAGTGCACCATAGATTTATCAGCCAGCGAATGCAGTAGGTGCCTGGAAAGTGCCATAAGAGATATACCAGGTTGTTGTTATGCCTCCATCGGTGCAAGAGTTCTAAGTCGTAGCTGTTATTTGAGGTATGAATTTTACCCTTTTTATGAGGGTGCATCATCTGAACCTGCAGATTCTTTAACCGGCAACAATAAGGGAAAAAGTAAGTGTTTAAAGTAACTCTGATCAATGGTCTTAAACATATTATTAGCACAATTGTTCAAAGCTGAATATTTTTGGTCATTTTTATAGATGGTACAAGCAAAATATGGATGATTACAGGCATTATAGCTGCTGCAGGCTTGGCGATAATTGTTTTCAGTTGCTGCCTGTACTTTTTCATGAAGAAAAGGAATCAGAGAAGTAAGTTGTTATGGGATGGTATGTATTAAATTTTTGAATTATTTTTATCCTCTTACTCACTTGGTTGTTTTGTTCAGCTAAGAATGGAATAGACGATCATGCAATCAATCTTCATAGCTTTGGTCAGCAAGGCGAAACAGTGTTTAATCACCTGACTTTTACCGGAAGAAATGACAAGATATCTGACATCCCTTATATTGATCTTGGATCTCTTTGTGTAGCTACCAAAAACTTTTCTGATTCAAATAAGCTTGGCCAAGGTGGCTTTGGCCCCGTTTACAAGGTAATCGAATTCGAGCTTATTATGCACTAGTAGTGTCTTGTGATGTATCCCCTTTTTTCATTAGTTTTTATCACAGAAAAGTTGACGGGTAAATGAATTTTGCAGGGGATACTAAGTAATGGACAGGAAGTAGCAATCAAGAGGCTTTCAAACTGCTCAGAGCAGGGCACAGAGGAATTCGTTAACGAGGTTCTCCTGATAATGAAACTTCAACACAAAAATCTTGTAAGGCTTCTTGGATTTTGTGTTGATGGAGAAGAAAAGCTTCTTGTGTATGAATTTCTGCCCAATGGTAGCCTTGATGTTCTCCTTTTTGGTACGTTTTCTCTTTCATCCTTTTTAAAAAATGAAACAACCAAATTACATTGGAACATAACACGGCAAAGTGAATAGATTGATTATAAATATTCCTTTTACAATGGGAAATATGAATATGATATCTACTATTTTTATGGATAGATTCAAAGCAACGTGCGCAGCTGGATTGGAGTAAACGCCTCGATATAATAAGTGGAATAGCAAAGGGAATTCTTTATCTTCATGAAGATTCTAGACTTAAAATAATTCACAGGGACCTAAAAGCAAGTAATGTGTTGCTGGACTATGACATGACACCAAAGATCTCAGACTTTGGAATGGCTAGGATATTTGCTGGAAGTGAAGATGAAGCTAGCACAGCTACAATAGTTGGCACATAGTAAGCACTTAGTTCCCATCATAGACATTTCCCCTTCATACATATATTTACTTGCTTAACCGAAGGTCGGTGACTTCTCTACTTGCAATTTTCAGCGGATACATGGCTCCAGAGTATGCTATGGAGGGATTATATTCTATAAAATCTGATGTTTATGGCTTTGGAGTATTATTGCTTGAGATCATTACAGGGAGTCGTAATGCTGGTTTCTATCACTCTAAAAGTTTCCCTAGCCTTCTAGCATATGTAAGTGTCTGCCTCGAAACCTTTTATATGTGTCACCGTTGATTGCTAAACTTGATGGATCATTCTGCAGGCATGGCACCTGTGGAATGAGGGAAAGGGGCTGGAGTTAAATGACCCCTTCTTATATGATTCATGCCCTGAAGATCAATTTTTAAGATACTTGAATATTGGATTGCTATGTGTTCAAGAAGATGCATATGAAAGGCCATCCATGGCTTCAGTTGTTTTAATGATGAAGAACGAATCAGCAACTCTTGGCCAACCGGAACGACCACCTTTCTCTGTTGGGAGATTCAACGTTAATGATCAAAATGTGCCTGACTGCCTAGAATTCTCACCCGATTTCTCAACTGGTTCTGATATTTTTTCCCAGTGAGTGAAACTAAAACTCTTATGGTAATGAAGCAGAGATGTTACTTATATTTTTGGGATTTCATGTCAACTTATGATGTACAAGAATTCTTATCTCATGTCCACCCCTTGGGTTTCAAATATCAATTACTTTTATCATATTTTTTCTGTAAGTTTACAGAACATATCATAAACCTTGTTCCGGTTTGTTTTGTAGAGTGTCATTAACAAATGAGACAAATTGTAGCAGAGAGCGAGAAGAGGCCACGCTATGAACGTGGAAATTAATGAGTATCATCTAAAGAATGACGGGATGCGAAAATGAGTTCATATCAGCATTGGCCTGGTTGTGCAAGTTGCTGCAATTAAATACCATAATGGATAGCTTGGAAAAGGTTAGCATTAGCAGGACCAAGACCGAAGATTCGTGAATCTATCCATACCAAGTACAAAAAATATTCCAAATACGACAAAAGGGTGGTAAGTAGTAACTGCACGATGTGAAAATATGCACAAGCATCGTTATCGAGAACATTGTTTTCTGTACTTTGACTTCATAGTTTAACATTTCTTAGAAAGGCGTCCTACTGATTAGTTATAATAATCAGCTACGCTACCATATATAATCAGTTTATTTGTCCTTTGGTTTAGCGAAGGCTTTCTCATTTTATAATATTATTACATTTCCGATAGACTAAATATCTATAATCAAATCAAATTTGCCATGATTTTGCAATCAGATCTACACCATGAACGCATTTCTTTCTCCATCATAAAGTCGTTCAAGAAGAGCTCGCCTTACTTCTCAAAAATCAACAAAAGGTTGATGATAATTATTTGTATTCCTTAATGTTGATATCATATTAGTATTCTATGACATTTTACTGAAGCGGTTATCTTAAAGTCGCCTCCACATGACATGTAGGGGGCGTTTGGTTGAAGAAATTTTTTTAGAATAGTAGAGAAATGTAATAGATAGAGAAATGATTGAAAAGTGAGATAAAGTGAGATAGGTAGAAAAATGTAAAAAAAAGCTGTTTGGTGGGGAAAAACTTTACTGGGAAAATTAGGTAACTTTATGAAATCAACAGTGCATTAAAAGTGAGATAACTGGTTTTCCAAAAAATCCCACCTTCAAATTGGGTTTCTAAACAGTGCGGATATCTATGTTTCTCATAAATCCATACAAATTGCATAGATGGATTTTTGGTGAAAATATGTTGAAACAAACATGGTGTTTCTAAAAGTCATACTTGAGAAACATAGATATCTCTTGAAAAGCTCCAAACCAAACACCACCCTAGAGGCGGTTCTTTTGGCGTTTTTATTTAACCGAGGTGGTTACAAAATAATTGTCTTTTATATATGCCCTAGAGGCGTTTATTTTGACCCACTACATAAGTCATCTCGAGTCGGTTATCCTGAAACCGCCTCTGTAATGTCTCGTCTGCAGTTGATTAATTAGCATCCATATGATAGTAAGGGCAGCATGCTCAACTTATTTAATGTGGAAGCTAACTGAATAAATTTTCTCTTTTTCCTTATGTATTGCAAACCTTTTCCTTTCCATGGCCAAAATAAAACGGACAGTATTTTCTCTGTATTTTGGACCACTGGGGATAATTTCCACCAAGACAATTTCAACCTGATTGGCAGTTTAATATAATCTAAGCATAAACCATGTTACCCAGCCATCCATGGCGTAGGCTATCTCATAATCATAACAGGTCTCAAAATAATATCCATGGAATTACTTACATGATTACATCAACCAACCAAAAGAGATATAATCAAATAAGTAACCTATACATATACAGACATAACTAACAAAATAGATAAACTATCAACATGGCATAGACATCTCCTATGCTCTCAAAATAATGACATGGCATATAGATACATATCCAAAATAAATTCATGCCAAATACTCATCAGCGTATCAATCAAATCATACTATCATGTCAGATAGTATCTTTCCTCTGGCCAATCGCCACGCGATGCCTCAGCACCATCAGCTCCTGTACCTGAAATGGTAATTCTCATAACGCGAGGTGAGATAATATAATTACCTCAGTAAGCTAAGGACCCTTGGAGGGCTCCTCCATCCCTAAGCTCACTTCTGGTATAATCACAATACATAAAATATCCATGCATGCATCAGAATATGCATGACAATGCAGTGTGCAATAATGTAATCCTACTGGCCAGAGAATATAATAAGTATGCATTACGCAAGGAAACACCGTCTTGCAACATACAATATAAAGAAACATTGTCTCATACTATGCATAAGGAAACACCGTCTTGTGTGGCACACAAACATACATACATATACATGCACCAAATAAAAAGTCATTTTTAACATACCATATCAAACTACCACCCTCCCTCGGAGTTTGGTGGAACAAACGGGAGATTAACCTCAAGGACCGAAAGCTTACTTGAAATAGCTCTTTTTCTAGCCTCTTCCAAGTCAAAGGTCCACAAGCCAACAAAATGCTCAACAAATGACCAACACATCTATCCATGGTGAATTTATCACAATTAAACATATATCCATTTCATATAAGTTTCACATCAAACCATTGTTTGATACTTACCTTAATCTCAAGTAATCAAGAGCCTTGCTCAATGTCCATGCTCTTGCTCCACAAGTCCACTTGGTCTCACACTATAACCAATGAACACATTTACATCATTATCCATCATCAGTTCATATATACGGTACTATTCATCTCTACAGTACTATTCACGTATATGTCACTATTCTTGTATACGACACTATTCAAAAATACGGTATCTTTAATTTTTCTGAATACATTTTCACTGTTAAAATCTTCATCTAAACATTTTTCTCAACATGAGTTAAGCCTCAATCAAGCTCTAACATGCTAATTCAAGCTAAACTTTCAAAATAGAAACCTAAATTCAAACTTCCTCAAAACTCAAAGAAAACTAGGATTTCTTAACATAAACTTATCTAAAATGAAGGGGAAAGCTTACTTCAAGCTCCCATGGCTTCAAGCTCCATCAAAACTCATCTTTTTCATGAAATTCGAAATCTTAGGAGAAGAATATCTCTCTACAGTGAACTCCACATAAAAATATGGGTACCAATGTGTTCCTCTCGAAATTTCTCACAAGTTTGACTTTGGAACAGAGTGATTTGGAGGTCTCAAGTACTCTCTATGAATTTTGGAAGATTTTTACTCAAAATCTATTTTCTTCCATTTTCTTGGTCTCTGTCGTAGATCCGCGGAAAGGAAGAAGAACAGTAAAGCTTTTTGAAAATTTTCACTTACATAAGTTAAGTGAAATTCAACTGGATAAATGCTTATCTATCTAGTCACCTCTATTCATTACCAAACTTTACACACTTGTCTAGAATATTTTTGTGGTAATATTTATATTTTACTTTTCACTTTAGGGTAACTTTGTTTACCCGCATTTTTATCCCTTAACTGTCATTTTAACTCTTTTTTCACCAAACGTGATTTTATTTATTTTTCTTCTACTTTCTTTATAATTATTCTTCAATATTAAATCCATAACTACATGTGAGGGTTATTATAGCCTCTAAATGATATAATTCAAAGCGGCTTTCCAGGCTTTTTAGTGCTCCACCTAAAAATTACATCATATTAGCGCAGTTAGATAATAGCCGAATTTAAATATCTTCTATGGGATGGTGTAGGAATCGCCCACATTGAACATGTGGTGGCTGTTGTACAGGCATTTTCTGGGCCTGCTCAAATTACAGTCGTTTTGAGGCGGTTACACATTAACCGCCCCCATATATATAATATAGGCGATTATCATAACTGTCCAAAAAATACATTCAAAGATGGTTATATATGAACCATATCCAAATATAGAGTTTAGGCGGTTATCATAACCGCCTCCAATTAACATTTGTAGGTGGCTTTTTAGGTTTTTTATATGGCCTCAATATTTTGTTATTAAATCACAATTTTACTTATTTTGATGATAAAATCGTAGTTAAGGATTGAGTAGAAAAGTGACCATGTTTCAATTTATAAAATTAATCTGAATAAATTATGTAAACTTACAATTTAAATTAAAGTTCTTCGAGATTGTAAGAGTATATGTTTGGAATTTTTTTTAAGGTAGAAGCTACTTTAAAGTTTTTTGAGTGATTACATAAAAGTTGGAGTCTATATACATTAGAGTATTTAAATCATTCTGGACAGATACCAATTCTAAAGGGTATGGTGAATGAATGATAGGGTTTAATATTTATAACCCTAATTTACGAGAAAATGAAATGTGAAACTACCTCATTGAGTTGCGTTGGTTTAATGTACTCAAAAGACTCTACTCCATGCAACCTTCTCCCTCAAAGTCATTGATCACTTGCACACCATTTTTCTCCATCAACCACATAAAGGTCTGTTGTTAGATATAATACTATATTATAAGTTCTTACACAAAATCTATATAAATGCACACGTTCACTTTCAAGTGTGTGGATATGTTTAAATCTGGTTGGAAGGGTCTGCTTGAATATGGCTGGATGTACTTATTGTACTTTTATAATGTTAATAATAATATTTGTGGGATGTTCACCAAAAAAAAAAAAAAATATTTGTGGGATTGTGCTCAACACGTTTGGAAAATAATTAAGTTCTAGCATACATTTGCAAATTCCTTTACGGGTTTCACGTACATTGATAAAATTATTTTTATACACATAAAAATAAATGAGATTCATATAAGATCATGTGAAAAAAAAAATAAAAAAAAAAAGCATGAAGCCACACTCTTTTGTGGGCTCTTTGAGCAGGGGTTAACCTATTTATTTTCCTATTTGGTATTCGTTTCTCATAATTTACCAATGAGGATCGTTTATTACCGCGGAAGGAGCCCAGCGGATTTGAGTCCTGCCCCGCAGATCACACAATTTTTTTTGGTCAAGTGAGTTCTGACTCCCTACACACGCGGAAACCACATACTTTTTTTTTTTCTCTGCTCCATTAAGTTCCGCCCCTACCCTTTTGGAATTGA